GAAATGATCAAATCCAAAAGGAGAGAGGGAGAAAAAAAAAAAGGGAGAAAAAAAAAAAAGAGTAAAATAAGTTCACTCAGCAAAAAATCAAAGTTACAGGCTAGACATGACTTTTCTGAAGGAACTGAAGCCACTATAAAGAAGGTAAATAGTTGCTCGTGTAATAAAATTTAACCTTTTTCTAATTCTCAAACATGCAGAAGACAACTGTGATTTTTGCCCGTTTATTCTACTTTCATACGAGTTTCAAAGATATCTTCGATTTTATTACATTTTGGATTCATCATAACTGTAGCATTGAAGCACATGAGGTACCCCGCTCTCCCTTTCATTTGGTTCAATCACTTCACAAATGAGTGAGTTTGTGGAGGACTCTAGAAACCCACATGTAATGCCTTGCTCCTTGGAGAGAGTCAGACTGCAGGAAGGATAGCCTTTCTTTGAGACGGGAGGAGACATGGGAACCATGTGCTTTCTCTGGTACTTCAGCACTGTTTTTACACATACTGCCAAGAAGTACGCCGCTGAGGACATGTCAGACCCAGGTCTCCACGTGTTGACATGCACCCCACTCTGTGAGAACACAGGAGCTCTGCAGAGCTACACTAGATGTATGAAATACTTAACACAAAGGTAGATCATGCCACGCAGCCCTATGGGATGTTCTCCAGTAAACTCAAAGTGTTCTAGGTAGGAATTTCTCCAGAAAAAGCCACACATACATGTAGCCTTAGGAATGGTTTCAGTAGCCTGTTGGGACATCTCTAGGGTCTCCTCAAGATGCAGAAACAAGAATGCTCTCGTGGGGCAATTCCAAGGGCAATGCATCAGCAAAGTGTACAGGTAAGAAATTTTGCCTTGGGTGCTTTCAGCAGGTTTCAGACAGGTGCTGTATCACTCCTTCTCACCACAGGGAGAACACAATTCCCTCCATCTGCTGATTTATTTTAGATTATCCAGGACTTTCTATCACTGTATGACTCTCCAGTATCCTATAGCAAAAGCCCCGGCTGCCAGCTGATAACCACAGATACTGCAGAACACAAATAGCACAGAGAAATGCCTCTAAGCATGGTATCAGCAGGTTGCCAAGAGTAAGCATGTATTCTAAGCAATGCCATTAGACACATTTAAATGATGCTGCACACTTAAAAAGCAGCCTGTGAACTGTGCCAGTATCTCCTTTACAGCTACCATAAGTAATTAATAGCACATCTACACATGCAAGTCACATGACAGGAGACTGTGAAAATCAGATGTTAATTCATTATTAAAAGTTTCCTTCTAAAGTGACATGTCAGATGGAGAGCCTAATACAGCTTTGCATGATTACTTGGTTGGTTTCAGCATGCAGTTGTTATTTAACAAGTAGGAGCAGCGCAGAGGGAGTGAAAGCAGGTTGTCGTTTGCAGCTATTTATAGGCTCCGGGAGGAGAGCACAGGGACGGAGCAGAACAAAACCACATCAAGAGGCTGGTGCCTGACCTGGCTACGCAGCCAGCTCCCACACCTACCTGCTCCCACTGTAACGGGGTGGCTCAGGGCAGGACACACCGAGGGAGGTCCCCTGTGCTGAGTCGTAGTGTACAGGGTGAGAACGCAGCATTTTATAGAGATTTCTCAGCCAATAACCTAGAATATCAATGAAGCGAATTACAGCTCCAACATTTTGTGCACAGATTTTTAATCATAAAAAAAAAAAAAATTAGTCATCTTCTTACAAGTCCCATTACTTGTTAACTTCTATGATCACGGTTTCAAACAATCTATTTTTGGTGACTTTTCAGTTCTTTCTGTTCTTCTTTCCTAAGGCTAAGCTTTAAGTCTGCATTCTGCAGAGTGCACCAGTTAAATATTTCCTCTAAACACAAATGTTTTCTACCTCATGGGAATTAAGCTGAAACCTCAGAGCCACTTCTAGCACCAGCATTTACATGCAAATACAGAAATATTCAGGCAGAGAGAATTCAAATTATAAACCCCAAAAGAAATCTATAGTGGATCAACACTTGGATTAATCTCTTACACAGAGCTGTTTTATATAAAACTTTGAACCTGATTTGATTGGATTTATACACGTTAATAGAATATGATGATCTGGCCGACAGATTAACCATGAAATCAAAAAGCATTCTGTATGAAAAGTCTTAGAAGTTTAGACACCCACAGGAGGACTGCAGAGATGCCAGAACACTGTGCTGGAAGTGATAATTGCTCAGAGGTAACATTTCACCTGTCAAACGCTATGCCAGCAGCATTGCAGGCTTCTAATAGTTTTAATTAAAGGTCTTAGGTTTAATTTTATGTCTAAACTAAGGTGGCTAAAGTTATGCTCACTGCCATTTGCATCAGTAAAGCGTTCTAGAGGCCCTGATTTTTCTGTTCCCTTTGTTGTTGTTTTTTTAAACCCAGTATGTTGCTTTCACATAGACTCTCAACCCTCTGTAGCCCTCACCAATAAATCTTAATTATCAAGACACTTTTATTATATTAAACTACATGCACCTTCCAAGGAGAAAAGAGCCTTGTTGCCACTGAAAGAAAGGATGGCTAGCAGAGCATGATTTACAGTAATTAGTAAGATTAAGAACCTCTATTAACTGCAATTAGACAACAGAATATTAAAGGGCAAAAATTACCATGCGGTGTGTCAGTAAATAAATACATGGATGATGCAGTTTCTTGCAGATGAAGTAAAGCAGAGCTGGTCAGGCTGAGTCACAGGCCCGAATGTTTGTTCATGCCAACAAAAGAGTATATCCTGCAGGAGCAGAATCTGAATAAAATCGTGTTCAGGTTGATGTAACAAAGCCCCAACTGTACACCTCTGCAAGTCTAAGATACACAGATTCCCACTGCTACAAAGAGCCTGTATCGAGCTCATACAATGACTGCCAAGCTTTCAATGAAAGAAAATACAAGATGTTTACAAAACATAACAGCCCTTCCAGTATCTCAAACAAGACTTGACTCCTACTTCTGGAAAAAAATCTGCCCTGTTCACTACAGGGTTTTTGGTTGTACTTTTTTCCCCCCCGCTCTCTTTTTGTGAGGTATTCTCTTCACTCTTTCCATACCCTGCTCTCTCATCTCCATTCCCTCACTTCTCCAACCCAAGGATGAATTAGAGCTGGCTTGGGCTCCATGACTGTTTTCCAACAGTGTCATTAGCACTTGTGGCACTGAAGAAAACTGGTCAGTGGAAAGGATAAATGCCCATCCCTAAAGTCAGCAGCACAGGACTGGTAAACTCAGCAAGTGACTACATTTTCTCTCCACTCCTCCCCAACCAATATTGTTTCAGCTTATAAGCAGCTCTGAGCTGGAAGGAGCTAAAGCGCACTGCACCTGGGCATGGGAAGAGGCGACACTTTTCTGGCTGCCGTCAATATTTTTGCCAAGTTCCTCAGAAGGATGTCCGCAGAGCTCCAAATCAGTGAGTTTGGGGAGCTGGCTGATCTCTCAGCAACTGCCTTCAGAAAACTGTCCATGTCATTTGCTAGGTCTTGTCTCCTTCTTTGAAACAACAGTTGTCACCAACACAGCTTCAAACAGAAAAACCCAGTTGAGAGCCCAGAGCCACAGGAGTTCAGAGAGTTGGAAAACAGCATAAGAACTCTTCCTCTGGATCCACAAGCACCGTTTGTCCAACCAGCATCAGCTCAGTTCAGAAGGAGCAACAAACACTGTCTATAAAACAAAGAAAACTTCCAGAGTGAAAATCCCCCACAGACCTCATATGGAGACAGCCAACAATCGACAAAGGCCCTGTGCACAAAGCAGCCCGTTTTGTTTCCAGCACAGCTCCTCTCCCTGGTGCAGCCTGGACAACTCGCCAACACATCCTGCTCGCCAGGAGATGCTACCGAGGACTGGAGGCAACGAGCCAGCTCAGCCTCTACAGGGCGAGAAGCTTCTGAGCCTTGTACAGCTTGTCAGCTCGATTTTGCTAACAGGACAAGAATTTTGTTGAAGCGGTAGTATTTTTTTCAGTTTGACAAATATTAGAAGATGTTTTCTGAAACTGATATTGGAGATAAATCCGCACAATCAGCAGGTCTAATGCAAAGTCAGCGAGACACATCATTGGAGTTGGTCTACAGAGCAAATAACGCCAGCAACAGAGCTGAGATGCTCAGATTTATTTAAGAACTTCTCAAAGGTTTATGAGTTTGTGAGAGATCCCTTATTTCCTTGTTCACAAGACTCTGCCCAAATCTCATCTGTCTTCTGAGAAACAAGAAAAAATAAATATATATGCATATATAAATGCTACTTTAAATGCTACAGTCTAAATCATTACTACTCATCAGTCTCATGTAAGGACATTTACCAGACCTCAACCCACAATGAGCTGCACTGTTTCAGATTTCCTTACACATTTTACTGAAGAGGACCATGTTAAATGCAGTAAGTCTTTCCCCCACAGTGCAAGCCCCTTTATCCACCAGACTAGCAGCAGGAATCGGCTACAAAAAGAATTTCTGTTAACTATCAGGAATTCATCAGTTAGAAACATGAGAAAACTGAGTGTGTTTTATGGGATTTTGCTCATAAAACAAAACACAAATACAAAGAACTTAATTTTCAATATCATGTATAATTTTTGGACACCTTGGCTCAAGCTCAAGAAAGATGAACTACAATGTATACTAGTATCGCGAAGAACTACCTGGACAATCAAGAAATAGGAACAGAGGACAAATTAAAACAAATATGCTTATTTAACCTAGAAATTTCACTAGATATTTTCAAGAAAATACAACCAGCAAGAGAAGAAACAGTTAAGACAAAGTTAGAAAGAGAAAAAATCAATTGGTTGAAAACCAATGTTGGGGAAAAAAAAAAAAATATCAGTTTCTAACAATCAGAAAAATTAAGCTCTGGAATAACCTTCCAGCTCTCCCAAGGAGGAAAGAACTGAACCGGTTATATGATTAGGTTTTATCACTTTATGAAAGAAATCACAACGCTGCTGCCTGCAAAAACCACTTGATTACCTGAGAGAGCATCAAGCCCAAGACTGAGTCAGTCACTGTGCTCACTGATGAGTGGTGGTGGAAGCATTCAGTTCTAGAATGGTTCCTTTCTTCCCCACATTGCTCAGATTCAAGCTATTTTCCTACATGAAATGCAAGTTAATAAATATATGTTGTTTTTTCTTTAAACTTCCTTGTTTGAAAAGTAGGAATACAAAATATTCATGTATCAGCTATATACCAAAGCAGCATGGGGTATGAAAAGGAGATTCTAGCGCTAAGGACCGAGCACAACACCACTGTTTCTTGAAGTTAAACCAAGAAATAATAGCCATATTGTTCCTTCAGTGACACTTTACTGTTCCAGAAACCTTTCTCTATGAGACCTGAAATGGTTATCACCAACTATTTCCCTCAATTGTATTGAATATATCATTCTAAAACAAACATGTAATCAACCTAAAAAAGGCTGTTTTCTCAAAGCAAACAGGTCACGCTCAATTACCTGTATGTTTCTGTCCTGTTGTGTATCATCATAACGGATTTTTCAGCAACACACCAAGAAAGCAGTCCTGCCTTTTCAAATTTTTCACTTTTCTCCTGTTCCACCACACATGCTGACTGTACAGACCCAGCACTTCATTCATCCCAAAGCTACTGCACCCCTCCGCAGTCACAGCCTAGCAAACAACTGCCCTGCTGACCTGGGACCACATCTGGTGGCAGCCTGGTCACCCACCAAGCCCACTCTGGTCCTCCTCACCCCAAAGAGGGGTGATTAATAGAGATAACACTGTGAAGAGATTCACAGCCTGGGTTATACACGGGGTTAATTAATATTGATACGCTGTGATGGGACTCAGAGCCATCTGGAGCACACAGCCAAAACTTTCTACAAAGACATCAAAAAGTTTCCAAGCTCTTTTGTTAGGACAGAAAATCAGAACAATGGAGCTCTCTAAAGACAGAAAATGAACAAATACAGGGGAAAATGAATTTTTAAAAAAGAACAAAACCTACCTCCTTCAGATCTTCATTCCACTCTCATTTCAGCAGCCCCCGGGGTCCCCCGTGGAGCCCCAGCAAGGCTTCTCCTCATCACCTAGGGCCTTCCCTGGAGCCCCCTCACCACACAGGAGCACCAGGCTCCTCCCCAGTGGGCAAGCACCACCTTATCAGGCCCACAGCATTTTCATTTGCCACCTGAACAGAGAAACAGCTGCAGAATTAGTAGCAAATAAAGCAATAAAGGGCAAAGCTCATAACATGCAACACAACTGGGATAAAAGGAGGCGGGCTGCGCATAGTCCTGACATTCAAGAATATCCATCTATGCAGAATAAATGGTTTCATAAAGGGAATCATGCCAAACTTGCAGGCTACAGATATGCAAATATAGCTCCAGGATGAAATGTTGCTGGATCTTCACAGCTCACATCATGAGAAAGCCTGAGGAGCTTCCCAAAGCACAGCTCTGTGAGCGTGCAGGAGGTGAGAGGCTTCCGCTGCCTCCTCGGCACGCTCTCACCCCAAGCTGTGAGAGCTCGGAATAAACCGCTTTTCAGTTCTGTCATCGTGATCACTGAAATAGCTGCACCACTGCTGAATTTCCTGGCTGGGGTCACGCCCCCAAACCCAAAAGCCTCTGCACGAAGTCAGAAAAATTCTTGGCTTCACTGGATTATTTCCATATCACAGGGAGGGAAATTAACAGTATTTTAGGGCACTCCTACAAATACGCTTCATATTTATGGTGGGTTTAATGTTAAACTTTGACAAACATTATTTCCAAGTGCTCTGAAGTGCTGGGGTTGCAAATGAGCCTGAATTCCCAGGTGGTCCCAGCTAATCTGCATCTCTCCTGGAGATCTCCCCACTTGACACCTTGAAAAATGATGATGATGTGCTACAACCTGGCTTAATTAATTGAACTGTTCATCCTCTCTCCTCCCCCGTGTTAACCCACCTGATGTGCAGAACCACTAATCTCAGCATTTACAGCCAGGAAAGCAGGCTGAAGGGCTCACAACGAGCTACACCCCTGCTCCTTTGGTGGGAAAAGCTTGTAGCCAAGCAAGAGAAAATACAAAAGTATTCCAAAACAATTTTCATAACTAGTGAGTCTAAATATTACTACAGAGATTACACTTTTGATCTTTTCTTCTTTAATTTGGTATAAACACGTTATTTCCAAGAGAATTATAAGACACCATTGAATTATCCCCAGGACTTCTCTTTGTAAATTCTTATAGACAAATTTATAGATAGCTTTATGTTTTAAATAGCACAGTACCTAACAGCTTGGATATTATTTATCCTAGAAAGCTTACTTCAGATAAATTAATAAGCAATGATAATGAATAATTGGATGGTATCAACAGCAAGGAATCCTCTGGGGCTTGGTAAGTGCAGGGGGATTTCGGGCAGTCCCCAGTGCCATAGCGGCTGCTAGGTTAGCCTGCTTCATATGTACCCAACCACTTCTGTTTTTACAACATGAGTCTTTCTTTCTACTTCTCATTAGCCAGTTTTGGAGCTCAGAATTAAGAAAAAAAAAAAAATGGAAGGCTTTTGCATGCAACAGGTAATAGTCTATTTCAGTGTAATCCAGAGCTGTTAACTACAAGACTCTGAACAAGCACACACTGTTCCCTGTGATAGGAAATTTGTGCTAATTGTCTGACTTGGACTTGCTATTATCTCTACGTCATTATTTCCTGCTGCTAATAACATCATTTCACTGGGTAAGCAATACCAGCTTACCCCAACCCCGCGTGGGGCAGGGAGGGTGGCGCAGCTTGGAAGGAGCCGCTCAGGAGGGCTGTGAGCATGCCTTCACACGCACCCCACAGAGCAGCTTGGGAGGTTTTGTTTCTCCAGCAAGCTACAGGAAGCTTATTTGAAACAAATAATAACTAACTTCATTTCGCATAATTTTGATCCAGACATCTAGGGATTTTTCACTTGGGTTTAAAGCAAATAAATGCTTTGTAGGAGCAAGGAAAAAAAAAAAAAAAGATTTTCTCCATAAGCTGTGACAGTCATGTCAACATGCAAGCCACTGGCCACAGATGGGGTTGGAAAAGTCATCTGGCATGGGGCAGAGCCAGCTCCAAAACACCTGCTGCAAGCCTGGCAATTTTAACACCTACATGCAACTGGGGCTGGCCTTGGGGAATCTGGTTTTTGGAAGATTTCTGAGGTAGGGGAAGAAGCATCTTGCTGTTTGCTTGTGTCCTGAAGAGTGCATTTCACCATCCACTACAAAGGCAGAGCAACAAACAGTCTATTTTTCTTATTAGTCTGAGCTTTCCAGATGCCTGGATTAAAGTTGAAGGTTTGTTTGAAATAAATACGTTACCTTTTCTAAACTAAATGTTAGTGTTTTCTGTATTTATTGGGGGGGATGCGAGAGCTACCGAAACCTACAAATTCCCATGGAAATGAGCAGTCTGCCTGCCTGCCATCACCCCAGCACCACACAAGCCCCACAGCACCACAGCTGCCACTACCACACAAACCACTCCTCATCCCCATCCCCTCTCCTATCTTAAATATTTTGAGCACAATCTTCATTGAGTTAAAAAGAGGCAAACATTTACCCCATAACACTACTGCAGATCATCGACAGTTCTACAATATTTAGCAATGGGAAAAGCAAAATGCTTTTATAGCACTGAAAATATTTTGGCACAGAGCACAGCTGGAACATCTGGCAGCACACCAGATGTATGTGAGAAGGACGGTGTCTCCTAAACCCAAAGCTCCTTAACCCGTTGGGCCCTGTTTGTCCCAGTCACAAACGTGAGCACTGGTTTGTCACACAGAAGTTTGTGCAACTGAAATGCAGCCGTGGGACCTAACGTATAACAGCCCTGAGTTTGCATGAGCAAAGGCTGGCTTAAACGATATCACCCCTCATTATGGAGCTCCATCGGTATTTTTTTGCAGAGGTACTTTTTTTTCCCCAAACAGGCTAAAGCTGTACGTGGAATTATGCTAATAAATGTAACATTCAGCAGAAGTTCAAGCAGAGATCTCATTACTGCCTCAGGATACAGGGCTTTACTGCTCCTCGCAACGGTTTTCAGTTTATAAAGTTCCAAATTGACGTTCCAGTATGTAAAAGCTTGAAATTGGAACCTGAAACAATTTCGAGTCATTGGAAGCATCCCACTTTTAATTAAACACCTTTCTCTGCAGCTGGGTATGCTGCAGTGATGGTTTAGCTTGTTAATTATGTTGTGCAAGGAGCACTACGCTGCACTCCTAGTGAATGATTTATGAACTTCAACAATAGAAAACCTCCATAGCACTGGCATACCAAAGACAAAAGAGGTAATTACTGTGCCCAAAGCACTTCAACTTCATTTGTACTCTGCGCAGTGCGAGCACAATCAGTGCCCTAAATCACCGCATTGTTATTTAGTCCTCAGCAACCTTTTCAGTTAAAGATGTTCAGTGTGATCCTTCACTTACAGACACTTTGGGGCAAAATCCAACGTAAAAGATTATGCCTGCAAAGGGGATATATCATACATTAATGAACTCGTTATTATAGGATTCATTGCCATTTCAGGCTCCATCAACAGTGCTCATGACTGAATGCTATCTCTTTCTGTGATTGAAGGATATGAGATACAATACAAAGTGTTAAGAATTTTCTTCATTTCTGTATATAATTAACTAGCTATGTTCCTGATATCCACTTGCTTTTTTTTTTTTTTTTTTTTACTCTTTTCAGATATGAAAAATCTTGATGTGCCTAAAGTGTATATGAAATAGTATCTTCTCTTATTTATTTAAACTTCTGTGTCTCAGTTTCCCTAGATGTTTCTCTGGCCTCTGGTACCTTTCCCAAACTAATAGATAAAAGATGAGCATGCTTTGGAACAAAGGCCTCAAGTAGCAGGATCTGTGAGAAAAGTATCTGTGACTTGTGATTGCTCACAAAAGTACCTCTGCTGGGAACATGTCCATCACTTGCCTGTAGTCTATATCACTTCAAAATGATATAAAAATACAAAAGTAAAAGACCTAAAAGAAAAATGTTAATTGTAATTTTAAGCTGAAGCATAAACATTGTCAAAAGCACTGAGCAAATATAATTTGGCTGCCTCTTTCCAATATTTCTTCTGTATAGAATATATACGTAAAGCAGGGGGAATCAGTGTGCAAAAGATGGGCACCATGATGAGGTCCTTTCCCTGCTTCAGAGCCCAAAGCCTAAGCCTGAACGCTGCGCTTGAATGAACACGATAGTTGGCTCAGCAGCTTCCCTAGTTATTCATTATTTATATGACCTTACACAGGTTCACCCTCTTGTGTTAGACTTGTACAAATACGGAGCTGAAAAAACAGCCGCTGTGCTTACCTTGCTTCCCGTCAGGCAGAGGGACATGATTGAGAGCAGACAGCATTGTGGCTGACCACAATCAGCCCTTTGACCTTCTCCTGCAGAAGGCAGAGTTTCTCAGGTGCTATTTCTCAGTGTCTTCAGGCTGTCCCCTAAAATTAAATATTGATTCAATGTTATCTAGGCTTCTTGGGGGTGGAAAATTAATATACATTTTTCTAGGAGAACGTAGTTTTAAATACCAGGGTAATTTTAATGGTCTGCAGATAAGCAAAATGAGCATCCAACAGCTAACACATTGTTTATCCAAGCAGTGCATGTATTAAGATATACTGCTTACCATCACCTCGGCCGACCTTCTTTGTTTATTCATCAATAGAGTCATCTGGGAGAGTTTCAATCTGGCGCAGTTCTGCCCTGGACTCGGCAGGTTACTTTCCCACAATGTCGAACATGCTGTAGTGAAGTTAATTAGACATAAGTAGCATATTCTTTTTATAGAGGACGTAATTGGTTGCTTGGCGAGCTGTGTACAACATTCTGGATCTAATAAACAGCCATAGAGGTGTTGAAATCTGATAGAATGGAGGAAATAGGTGTAAAACAGTGGGGAAATGAGAGCAGGTTTCCTGAGATTACGAGAGAGACTGCTTCCAAGAAGAGAGACCGTAAGTTTTGGTTTTGGTTTGTTTTCCAAATGAAGCTATATGAACAATTCAAGCATACGAGCACAAAAAAAGTATGTATTTCATTCAGATTAACCAGATTGAAAACTTATTCTGCCAGGTTTATCTATGAGATGCTGGAAATATTCCCATTGGTCTCCTATTTTGTCTTTCTTCTTTCCAAAGTAATTACTGAAAAAAAAATAATTTTACATCTGGTATCTTTAAGTACCTTTAGGTGACCCAACCATGGAAAAAAATAAAGAAAAAAACTGTGACAGCTCTTTAAATATTGTAGAACCATGTCACTTTGTATCAGCTGATAATCTGGTTCATATGCTTTACAATAATAAAGGATTTAATGGCCATATATTTTTCTGGAAATTCATATCTGTACTTCCATTGTGTTTTACTGGCCATTAATTTATTTTCCAATGTGAACTCAGTCATAAGAAGCTGTATTACAATGTTACTTGG